AGTTCTTTTGCCAATGGCATTTTTGGCATCAAAACCCAGAGTGTGACTATTTCCCAACAGATCCATTCTGCATTATCTAGTTTTAAAGACTGCTCAGACACCCCACTGACCTGTTCTCCCAGACAACCAACGCTCTGTGTTCTGCTACCACAGATTAGCCTGCGTTCTCTAGGATTTCAGGTAAACAGAACTCATGGCATATATACTCTTTTCTGGACGATGCCCTTTCACTCAGCAGAGTTATTAGCAAACTTATCCATGCTACTGAATGCATCAATAGCCTATCTCTTTTTATTGCTGAGTGGTAATCCACTGTATGGATGTACCACAATTTGTTTAACCCTTCACCTGCTGATGGACATTTGAGGTTGCTTCTAGCTATTGGCTATTACGAGTAAAACTGCTACAAATATTCATGAGTGAGTGAGTGTAGGGACAGATGTTTTCATTGCATAATCCAGATACAAACCTCTTCTCAGACCTGTGTTTCATAAATATCTTCCCTTAGTATGGCTTATCCTTTTGTTACTATGTGTTCTGAAGATCAGTTTTGATGAAATCCAATTTGTTTTTATTTTTTATTATCTCTTCCTTTTATAGTTCATGATGTTTCTGTGCCCTAATTAAGAAATCTCTGTCAAACCCAAGGTTACTACTCCTGCTTTCTATCAGAAGTTTTATATTCTTAACTCATATTTAGGTCTATGATCCATTTCAAGTTAATCTTCTGTATACTACATTATGACAGTCTATAAAATTTGTATCTACAAAGAGTTATAGTATCACAAAGACACTGATTTATAAAAATTAACTGACGAGAACCCAATACAAATCTTTATTTATAAGATAGGCATCACTCGATGATCAAGTTTTACCAGAAACAAACCAATGGATAAAACCCATTGACTAGAAAAAAGAATGGGAGGAATGTTTAATTACTGTTTTTTGCTTGTGCAACCATTGCCTATTTCCCATTTCTTTTTACTTTTCTGTATCTTTAGTGTTTGTCGTAATAAGCATCAAAGATTGCTATATCAAAAATCAATTCAGATATTTTTAAAAATTCATCTCAGAGAAGGCTTTCCAGCTCTGGGCAGCCTTCACAGGGCTCTGAAATGCATAAATGGCCCCTTTGTAGAACCTAAAAGGTGAACACACTACCAAGAATTCACCTTCTCCCTAGACTGCTCAGTGTGGCTCAACAGCAGAAGAGACGAAACAAAGATTTTCCAAGGAGAATTCTCCAAAGAGAACATGGGAGTAGTTGAAGCCTCTGGATGAGACCAGATGCAAACCAGAATCCAAACACCACTCTAAAGAGGTGAACTCCAGCCGAAGGAGGCTGGTTGCCCCACTTGGCCACCCACCAAAATGGCGGCCTGTCCTCCCAGACACTTGGTGCTCACAGACGTGAATGTCAAATAGCTTCTCCATTCACTCCCTCTCCACGGGCAAGGAAAGCTAATGAAATTTTCTTGCTGACGTGCTCACTGTCCTCTGTCTCAATACACTTGACAAGACTGCTGAAGTCTGGAGCCTCACTCGTAATCAGCCCACGGCTGGCCCAGCCGCCTCTCCATGTGTGTGCACTGCTGCCAATCTGGCACCCGGGGTTTGCCTCTTGAGCTGCTGCAGAGGCCAGACTGGCTGATGGGATTGTCTACAGATGTTTCACGGAGGGAAAGATTACTTCCCTGATGGATGAATAAATAGTTGTCAACACTGTCTCCCTGGTCAGAGAGGACCCCTGAAGTAGAATGTGGCAGGACAGATGTTTCATCTGGGAAGGTGTCCAAGACCCTAGGAAGAGGTGTGTGCTCGGCTGATATGGCGGGCCGACCAATTCAGCCTCCGAGAGGGAGCGGGGGAGGGTGGGCCCACAGCCGGAGCCAACACCACTGCCAACCTTCCCCGGCTCAGACCACCTCCCAAATCCTGCTAAGGGAGTAGGCATGCTGTCTCAATCACAGCCTCCCCTTGGGGCTGTTTTTCCAATGAACAAAAGGTCCCTATCATGAGAAATGCAGTCATCTTCTTAGTCCTTACCTGCTGTGAATCACAAAGAGGGCAGCAGAAACGACACTGTAATCCTCAGGCTGAACCTCACAGCTTCCTCCAAAAGGAAGGAGAAGCAGGCACAGTCAGTCTGGGAAGGTGGGAGGGCACCTGGAGGAGGCTACCTTCTTCTCAGGAGCATGCTACTGTGGGCTTTCCTGGCTGACCTTCCAGAATGAACGAGACAGTAGCAATAACGATGATCATCATTGTTTTAGCAACTGGAAGACGAGCCGTCACAAAGTGAGTCTACACTGTGTTCCTGACGCACGTGCATCCCACTGAACTCTCACACAAGGACGTGCGTGCACAAAATACCCCGTGCAGGGACTAGCGACACTTACTACCTGGAAACTCTCTCTTGAAGAGTCCCTAGAGGATGTATCCCAAGGAAAAGGAAAGAGGGATGGGTGAGTGCTTTCATTAAATCTACTTTGCAGATGAAAATGCACAAATTCAGAAAGGTACAGTGACTTGCCAAGGTCACAGAGGAAGGAAGCAGTCAGCCTAGGAACAGAGCCCAGATTGGGCTCGTTCTCAAATCCTTGCTCTTAGTCACTATAACTGTGTGGCCATCAGGAGAGGTGGGAGATGAGGGTTACACTTGGAACCCAAGCAAACAAGTGGTGGTGCTTACCACGCGGGCACACACCACTCACCCCCTAGCCATGCCCAGTTTCTGCCTCCCCCTTGCACAGACTGGACCGTAATGCTGACGATTACATGGCACTCCCAGAGGGGCTACATTCCAGGAGGAAACAGGCAAGAGACTATTCATGTTATACATCCACACACACACATACACAACCCGACGGCTGAAATCTGGAGCACTATCCCAAAAAGGGCATTTGGGTATTTGTGGCAAAAGAGTCTTCATCTCACCACCGGCAGAGAAGGAAGAAATCACGTGCAGCTGGAGAATCTAGTCTAGTTTTCTCAGAGTTCATATGCTTTATGAACATTTTCTAGTAATAACAACAACCAACTTTTTGTACATCCCACTCCACAATTAACTTGATTTTCCTTGAGAGTAACGTAGCACGTAGCTTCAGTGGGTAACGCGAGTCCAGCACATGGTAGGTACTTGATACCTTTCGGTTAAATGACAGAAAATGAACAAACAGACAAGGACAGGAAAAACGGAGAGGCCAACGTATGGCAGTCATGGGAAACATGAGCTTTGGGGTTGGACGGTCCTGGGTTTGAATCACGGCTGCCACTTTCTGGGTACCTAAGCCAATTGCTACTGCCTCTCTCTGTCTCACTTCTCTCGTCTTCAGAGTGGAGACAACAACAAATACCAACTTGACAAAATGGATAGAAGAACTCAAAGTTCTTCTGAGCACCACGCCTGACACAGGGTAGGGGTTTGGGGATGAGATTTGCCTTTACTTCTAGGGAGAATGCTCCAGTCTGCAGGGAAGAGCAGAACCCATTATACCTCGCATCTCAGTCTTACAGAGACAAAGGATGACTGTTTTTAGGTGATCATGGAGGTGGGGTGAGGAGCTGCGGGGACGAGCTCTACAGAGACAGAAAGGATGAGGGCTCAGTTCCCGGTGGTCTCTGTGCTGGACTGTGATGGGGCTTCCTGGGCAGTTCAGAGAAAGCCACTTAGAGAACTGAAGGAAGGAAATTAGAACCTGTCCCAAGAGGAGCAGCCAAAGGGACCAGCACTGCTTAGACTTCAAGAAGTACAGGAAGGGACAGGACAGCCTACATGGTCCCATTGGCAAAGTGGAATTAACGAGCAAAAGTGATAGGAGGTGCATTTCGGTGGGAATCAAGTCCCAGGAAGGCTGTGTTTCCCCGCCTGAGGTCATGGCAGAGCACACAGTCATATCCAAAACCGGTGGGATGACTCCGAGGCCCATCGCTATACTTCTCCACTGTATAGCAGTACAGGAAGAAGGGAGATGAGGCACTGAAATCACCTTTCCCCCACCTCTACCCACCCAACCCCACTGGTAAAGGAAGCCTTGCACACATGCGCGTGTGTGTGCATGCGCGCGTGCATGTGCTGGTTCTTGCTTCGAATATTTCTGTAGGACTGAATGCACAAGTAGGCCAAATTCAAAGGTTCTCTCTGTCATCTACAAAAGCCTAAGCCCACTAGATGGACAAAGCTGGGAGAAGGCAAGAGGCAAAGGCTTTAAGGATCCTAAAGGAGAGTGAGGTCTACCTCCCCCGGGCTGGGGAAGAAGGGAGACCGGGTACTGCAGACTGAGAAAATAGTAAGACATGTTCTCAGGAGGAATGGTGGTGCAGTGCGCCTGAGGAGGAAAGACCCAAACCCCAGCCTGACAAAGATGCCCACATCTATACGGGCATGAAAGCCGACAGCCCGCAGACCTCGAGAAACCTGAAAGGGTTACCACAGGAAGCAGGTCCGTGGTCACCAAAAGATAAAAGGCTCAGACCCTGTTTCCTTGGCTATAAGCTTCCTGGATCTCTGGGGTCATTCTGGAAGGAGGAATGGTTCTCACAATGACCAAGAAGGGATTTTCTGTTCATCTGCTCAGATATGGGCTCAGAGACATATAAAGTTGATTTAAAGCAAATACAGATATTGAAATTCTTTGCAAATCTGTGTTTGAGAATTGAGATTCATACCCAGCAGGACTGCAGGCACCATACACCATATTAAAGGACGACAAGGGATACCCGTGTGGCTCAGATGGCTAAGTGTCTGCCTTTGGCTCAGGTCATAATCCTGGGGTCTTGGGATCAAGCCCCGCCTTGGGCTCCCTGCTCCGTGGGAAATCTGCTTCTCCCTCTCCCTCTCCCCAACTTGTGCTCTCTCTCTCTAATAAACAAAATCTTTTTAAAAAGAAATAGCGACAGAAACATGTTCTCTCCTCCCCCCACCACCACTGTCCCCCAGTCAGACACTGGGTACCCCCAGATCTGTCAGCTGGAGTGGGCCTCCCAGCCCCCTGCCTTACCTGGGGAACAGGTGCTTGCGGCTGACACACAGGGCCGTCTGGTAGTCCTGGGTCACGCATACTTTGTGAGGGCTGCATTTCACCTTCAGGCAGGGGTCTTTGGACGGGTCCAGGGCTAAGGCAGAAAGAACAAGAAGAGGAGGGGGTTAGGACCTCCAGGGAAGTTTAATTTTTCTTTTTACTCAAATAAACAAGTGGGAAATAAACAGACCATGTGTTTGCACTCCATGCTATTTTCTTCGGCTGATGGGGATCGGAATGAATCCCCAAACCAGGGGGAATTCTCTATCTGTGAACATGCGCTTCTTCAACATCAGGGTAGTGATTCCTTTGTGCTTTGGGGAGTTTCAGCATCTCCATCTCAGGCAGGAATTACTTTAAAAATCCTAGAAGCTTACATGCTCCAAGGACCAAGAGCTACTTTTCCTTCTCTCGTTATTTGTCTGCAATTGCTTTTTATGACTTCACCCACGCCTACCTTTACTTATTCCCTGCAACTACAAAAGTCCTTGAGGACAGAGTTTTTTGGCCCCGGTTCCATCAACATGGACTGTGTGCATCCATGAGCTTATTTTAAATTTGGGGAGAACTTCGGGATGTGCAAGACCGTTCTGTGCCACACAAAGTTCTGGTATAATAAGGAGGGGGACAAACTGACACATAAATATTTATCGTGCAAGGCGGGAGGAGATAAGGGCCCTGCCAGGCATATAAAATGATAACAGAGCTCGAGAGAAAAATAGAGATCAATTTCTGGGACACAGATTAATGAAGCATTAGTATGTGAACTGGATATTGACGGAAGAGCAGAGTGGGGCGGCAGTCAAGGCATGAAGACCAGCACACGCCAGCACAGGGAGGCACATCTGGGCCACCGGCAAGACACTGCCCCCCCTCCCCTGAAGAGTAAGTGTGGCCTGCATGTGGGGATGACAGGGGGAAGGGAGGGGATGTCGCTTCAACCCAGGCAGTGGAGAGAAGGAAAGAGGGTCTCCCACAGCAGCAGTTCCTCGACCGCAAAGTCTCCCAGAACCGGCTGAGCAGCCGGCCCCAGACTCATCTGTGCTCAGCAAGCTGAGGAACCCACGTTCCTCAGATGCTCAGAGCAGAGAAGAGGCCGTAGGGAATTCTCCGCAAAATAAAAGCAATCATACCATCTCCCAGCTCCAGGCCAAAAGCCTATTTAGGCAGTAAATCTTTCATAACTTCTCTCCGCAGCCAGAGGAGGGGACATTGCCCCATGTCCTCCCCACACAGATAGGCGGTTACACCAATGGGCATCCCAAGCAGGGACAGAACACCTGCCCAGAGAAGTGCCATCGTCCCCTCCACAGGCTGGGTCCCTTGGTGACCATGAAACCCTTGCGCTTAGAGAAGTCCTGTTTCCTCTCAGCCTGCACAGACTCCCAGTCTCAAGACCACCTCCCTCCAAAGGCCACGGCTGCGGGGTATGTCTCAGGGGATGGGAACCCACAAGACTCAGAGGCCTTTGTGCTGCGTGAACAGCTTGGGGAAGCTCGCTCCACTGCAGCAGCCTCGGCTGCCGTCCACACCGGCAGGGTACATTGGTTTGGCCAGTCAAGTCAGCAACAAGACCCGGGTCCTGGTCCCCAGGGAGTCATCGGCACAGCCTACTCCCCAAGGGACTGTCTGCCTGCCTGAAGCTTAGCAGAGGGAAATGAGCTGCAGGACGATAAAAGAGGCTAATTCAAGCCCCAGGGACAGGGTGTTCGCTTTGAACTCTTCAGCTAAGGGCTGCATCTGGCAGGCAAACGACAGGGCGGGAGCGGGTGGGGGGAGCCTGTGTCTGCTCGCAGAGTCCCCCGAGGCTGGGCCTTCTGGAAACTCACAGCAAAGTCTTCCCAGTCCTAGGTGGAATGCTCCTCGTCCTCAGGATGTCCACCTGAGAAGCCAGGAGGCTGGCATGACCTCAGGCCACTGGCCTCCTCCTTGGGCAATGTCTCGCACCCCCAACCCTAGAGTGGCCGCCCCACCAACTCTGACCTGCTTTCCAAGACTCACTCAAAATTAAGCCCACCTGCAGAATGACTACGGGACAAGCACTGATGACCACCATGCCAATCCTTTGCGGGGCCCTCCTCACCACAGGAGAAAGTCAGACATTAGGGAGCTCCAGGAACTCAGGGACGGGACCACAGGCAGCCCCCGCTGAGGTACCAGCTTCAGCATTTCCCTGACAGGGGCTCAGTGCTGCAGAACCCCGGGGATTTTCACTGGAGTGTGAGGCCAAGGTGGAAACCGACAGGGCGATGCATAGCAAAATCTGGAGTGCTGTAGGACCCACTTCAGGGCCAGACCCGGGGTTCTCTTTCTCTCTGCAGGCAACTCCACAAACATCCACGTCCACACTGCGGCCCAGATGACCTCCACGGATGGTGCCATCTCAGAGCGACTGGGTGAGCTGCACGGAGTACGGAAGAGCAGGCTCCAGGCCCCGTATTTCCGAGTCTGAATGCCAGCTCTGCGGCTTCCCCGTGCCTCAGTTTCCCCTTCTACACAGGGTGGATAATGCCGTCTGCTGTTGTTTGGGTTGTCAGGAGGAGTCCACGAGTTCATATTTGCGAGTGTGTAAAACGGACCTTGTCTAGGTTACACCACTTGTAGGTGTCTGCTCCTTTTTTGAGCATTGTGTCCGCAGAATGAGTAAGACGACTTCGTACTAACAAGGATAGCTTGACACTTACCCACAGCTTCAGACATGTGGGCCACGAACCAAGCCCTCTAACTGGATTACCATGTGTAGTTCTCGAAACCACCCAAAGAGGCGGCTGCTGGTAATGTGCCCATTTTATAAAGGAAGGTCTTAAAGAGGAGTCACCGATGAGCGGTGTGAGGGAATGTCACACCCGACCAGCTGACTTCAGAACACAAACATCTCACCTTCAGAGGCCAGCAGGGTGAGAATCACCTAGGATCTCCCGTGAGGACTTAACCGTGGGGCCACACCTCACACCAAGTAGAGAGCCCGAGTGCACCAGCTTCTTGGGAGGCCCTCAGGGCAGAAAGAGGCTCAAGGGTCTAACTCAAGGACAGCTAGGGAATCTGGTGTGCCCAGGCTGGAACCAGGGCTTCCCGGGGAAGGTGAGGTATCCAGCCCTGGGCAACTGCACTCTCTGTCTGCTGCCTCTGAAGGCGGCAACCGTCTAGCTAACAGCACAGACCACTGATTTGGCCAGTTTTCTTTCTGCAGCCTTGGCACATGGCGAACAACTATAAATCACCACTCCTCTAATTCACGAAGCCGACACTTCTTCAAAACAAGCAACCCAAAATCCAACCATAAAGACTACTCAATGAAAACCAGTCCCTTAACTCCATACACATACTTAACAATTTGCATACAGAAATAAAGTCTGCTAAAAATTAATTACCAGGGTCTGAATACTTCAAACATGTATGCGAATTATTTTGAGTAAATGAACTTTGCAGAACAACAAAACAGTAATAAATCAAGCTGTCGGTGTTCATTTTAATCACCACGGTGCATTTTGTGTCTGAAAAACAGCAACGCTGAGATTAAGAGGAGATGAGGATGATGAAGGGAGTGTGTCATCTGCCTTTAAACGCGGCCTCACAGCTGTGCTTTTCTGAGGAACCCCAGCGTCCGCGGTGACACCGGAGAGCAGCCGACAGCCGCAGTGGACAGGGCTATGTGGCTCCACTTTGTAAAGGGAATGATAACAGATCAGAATAGTAAGTGGCATTTGAGAGGCCCTTTAATAAGGGGCAGGGAAATTGCTCAGGGAAAGAGGCAGGGAGAGAGAGCTGAGTGTTAGTGATAACCGGGAACAGGCCTAGAAACTTCCTTGTCAAGGGGCTAATGATTTCAGGAGCCTGTGTTCCAAGTTTCTCCCTCTCCCACCACAGGCTTGACAACAGGACGTAGCACTGCCCACAGGATGGCAGAGTCCTGGATCGCCTGCCCCAGTCCCACTCCCCTCAGGACTTCTGAGGCCCACGGGACTTCTGTGGCCCACACGAGGCCAGTGTCCCTGACCCAGAGCGCTCCCCTACGAGTGCTGCGTGTCCTCTCTCCTGCCCATTCCCCAACACCAATCAAAGGTCAGCTGGCACAGAACACATGCCCGATTAATTTGTTTCATAATTTTTACAGAAATTGTTTTCTAAGAAGAAAAGAGGAACAAATTAATTTCAAGAGAGATGTAGTAAGCTGGAAAACACTGAATTTGAAAGCAAGTTCATTATAGGCTTCGTGTCTTTTTTTTTTTTTAATTCATTTTCATTTTTAAGCTTAGGGCTTGGTCTCAATTAAGGTTGTGATATTTTAATTATCTTAATTGTTTCTAAACTTGTTTTCCAGTTCGAGTTACTTTTTAATTAGCTACATTGATTTTGAAAATCCAGAACCAAGCCTTTTTGCTGTCTGAGGGCATATCCCATAAGCTCACAGACAGAGGCCCAGAACCCCTGTGAAAGTGGAGCGGGAGACCCCCTCAGAGCTGTGGAAAGGAGGGCATGTTCCATTTTGTTCATTGGCCACAGAATCCCTGAGAGGTACCTGGGGCACTGACACACACGTGGATCTATTCCATTAACACCCGCAGAGTCTCTGCTCTGTGCGGGCTGGAGGCTGGCACCTCCAGAGGGAGCAGGACCACATTCCTGCCGCCAGGGCTTCGCAGCTCTCAGGGAGGCCAGCAACAGGAGGCAAAGGTCAGTGTGGTAGGGGAGAGGTGCAGGACCTCACCTGGACCTTCGGCGAGTGAGACTTCCTTGACAGACAGCCATCTATGGAAAATGGGTTCAAGCCCGGCGATAGGATGAAAAAAGAACATTCTAGGTAGGAGGCGCCTTTCTTCGCCAGAGAGATCAAGGTGAGTCTGGGGAACGGAAGTGTTTCGTTGGGCTCCTGACAGGCTGGAGCAGGGCTGGTAGATGACACAACAGGAGAGAGCAGCAGCATCACCATGAAGGGCCTTGAGAGCACAAGGAGGACTCCCGAGGACCGCGGCCCTACAAGTGCTGCAGGGAGAAGAACATGGCAGAACCCAGCCTCCCACACTGACGTGAGTGGAGAGGGGGTACACCCGTTTCAGCCCAAGTAGCACTTTGTCAAGAAGAGACAAGCTGCAT